TTTTCAGCTGCTTTTACAGGCAACTAGACTCTCCTTTAAAGTGGCAAAATGTTTCTTTCATTTGGCTTTTAATTAAGCAGTTTATTGTGGTCATGCTGTTTATGTTTTAATATCTATTTTAGAGCAAACTGATGACAAGGTAACATTCACTGTGAAAATCCACAGTTGTAATAACATTTTTAATCACCTTAGCCTGTGGTGTTTTGTTGTTTATAGCACTTCTGTTTACCATTAAGTGTTCGCTTAATTCTAGTACAGTTGAATCGTACTAGCAAATGAGTCACTTCCTACAGTTTCATGCTCATAAAAAGCCCCCACTGCTTCAGTTAGTATACACTTCTTATTGAATGGTAACATTCAGCCCACTAAGGAATACATCCTCATGCAATGGTCCTGTGCAGATGTGACACTGGCCCAGTACAGATGATCAACCTACAAAGTGGTTAAGAAAGGTTTGCACCTACTGACTGATTCATATCTGTACTGAAGAAAGAAAGTTTGGAGAAAGCACTCTAAGTTTTCTCCAAAAGCCTGTCAAGCTGGGCCTCCACATTTGTAGGTCTAACTTTTGCAGGTCTCGGCGGTGGCCGGGAGAGCTTTTGCACAATTAAAACTTGTGCACCAGTTGCGCCTGTACCTTGGGAAGCCTGATCTGGCTACAGTGGTCCATGCTCTTGTTACATCCCGAATAGATTACTGCAACGCACTCTACGTGGGGTTGCCCTTGAAGACTGTTCGGAAACTTCAACTGGTCCAGCGAGCAGCAGCCAGATTGCTCACCGGAGCGTCATACAGGGAGCACACCACCCCCCTGTTGTGTCAGCTCCACTGGCTGCCGGTTCAGTTCCAAGCACAACTCAAGGTGCTGGTTTTGACCTACAAAAACCTATACGGCTCCGGTCCAGCGTATCTGTCCAAACGCATCTCCCTCTACGTCCCACCTCGGGGTTTGAGATCATCTGGGGAGGCCCTGCTCTCGAGCCCACCGCTATCACACATGAGGTTGGTGGGGACGAGGAGCAGGGCCTTCTCAGTGGTGGCTCCTCACCTATGGAACTCACTCCCGGGGGAAATTAGGTCATCAACATCCCTCCTCTCCTTCAGGAGGAAATTAAAAACGTGGTTGTGGGACCAGGCCTTCGGGCAATCTGACAATTAGATAAAGACAATTGGACGACTAGGACTGACAGGACTGACAAAGTGGAATTGGAATTTGGACTATGAGATGGCAAATGCTGAGCGTTAATTAGGTGAAATCGGTTTTATTGGTTTTATTGTTGCAGTGCAGAAACGGATTGTTAATTGTTTAATTGCTGCTATATTGTTTTTATTCTACTGTTATATTGATGCCGGCATCGAATTGTGCCTTTGTAAGCCACCCTGAGTCCCCCTCTGGGGTGAGAAGGGCAGGGTAGAAGTAACCGAAATAAATAAATAAATAAATACTGGAAGCTGACCACAGAGTTATGTTGGAGGATGCAGGGATTCCTAAAGAGTGGTTCTGTCTGGTAAAAACTATAGCATTTTTTGATTTGTGCTTTTGTATATTTATAGGGGTCCTAACCCCAGCGAATATGGGGGAATGACTTAATTTCCTTCCTTCCTTTTTTTGTTTCTATAGTGCCAAATGTGGGATTTCTATTCTGAATGCTAATCATGCATTTTAGAAGAATTAAATATGTATCATTATCGGAAGTATCATTATGGAGTCCCCGGTGGTGCGGTGGGTTAAACCCAGTGGTTCTCAACCTTCCTAATGCCGCGACCCCTTAGTACAGTTCCTCATGTTGTGGTGGCCCCCAACCATAACATTATTTTCGTTGCTACTTCTAACTGTAATTTTTGCTACTGTTATGAATTGTAATGTAATATCTGATATGCAGGATGTATTTTCAAATCCCAAATACCCAATATGCCCAAATTTGAATACTGGTGGGGTTGGGAAGGGATTGATTTTGTCATTTGGGAGTTGTAGTTGCTGGGATTTATAGTTCACCTACAATCAAAGAGCATTCTGAACTCCACCAACGATAGAATTGAACCAAACTTAGCACACAGAACTCCCATGACCAACAGAAAATACTGGAAGGGTTTGGTGGGTGTGTCCTTTGGTTTTGGAGTTGTAGTTCACCTACATCCAGAGAGCACTGTGGACTCAAACAATGATGGATCTGGACCAAACATATGGGATATATTGGCATGAATACTCAATATGCCGAATTGTGAACACTGGAGGAGTTTGAGGAAAATAGACCTTAACATTTGAGAGTTGTAGTTGCTGGGATTTGTAGTTCACCCACAATGAAATAACATTCTGAACCCCACCATCGATAGAATTGGACCAAACTTCCCACACAGAACCCCATGACCAATAGAAAATGCTATGTTTCCTGATGGTCTTTGGCGACCCCTCTAACACCCCCTCGCGACCCCCACAGGGGTCCCGACTCCCAGGTTGAGAAACACTGGTTAAACCCCTGTGCCGGCAGGACTGAAGACTCGGTAGGTCACAGGTTCAAATCCGGGGAGAGAGCGGATGAGCTCCCTCTATCAGCTCCAGCTCCTCATGCGGGGAGATGAAAGAAGCCTCCCACAAGGATGGTAAAAACATCAAAACATCTGGGCGTCCCCTGAGCAACGTCCTTGCAGACGGCCAATTCTCCCACACCAGAAGCAACTTGCAGTTTCTCAAGTTGCAACAAAAATAATCGGAAGTAATTTTTAAAATCTACAAGTTTTGGCACACGTGAGGAGCAACTTCCAAAAACAAATGAACAGTTGTCGTCACTGCAGACTCTGAATGTGTGATTCACTGTGTATGAACCTAATGCTAAACCACAATTAGCAACATTAAAAACAAGATTAGTCACCATCGTGCCTGTGTCCCTCTTCTTCCACCCTCTTCTTCAAAAAGTTTGGAAGAAAAGTGGAGTCTTTTGCTTCTGTTTTACATTAATGACAGTTAAATACATGGTTTGCGATTTTAAACTATGTTTGATCTGAATAATGATTAGCATAAACAAACCAGCATTTACAAATTATCAGCTGTATGATGTTTTGTTTCCAGTCCTTGCAATCACAATTCATCACAAAACAGAACTATAGGTTGTTGTACGTTTTTTCGGCTATATGGCCATGTTCCAGAGGCATTTTCTCCTGACGTTTCGCCTGCATCTATGGCAAGCATCCTCAGAGGTAGTGAGGTCTGTTGGAACTAGGAAAATGGGTTTATATATCTGTGGAATGACCAGGGTGGGACAAAGCTGTCTGTTGGAGTTAGGTGTGAATGTTTCAACTGACCACCTTGATTAGCATTTGATGGCCTGGCAGTGCCTGGGGCAATTTTTTGTTGAGAGATGATTAGATGTCCTTGATTGTTTACTCTCTGTTGTTTTGCTGTTGTAATTTTAGAGTTTTTTTAATACTGGTAGCCAGATTTTGTTCATGTGGACAATTTCAACAGAAAGGAGGAAACCATGAAAATGAACAAAATCTGGCTACAGTATTTAAAAACTCTAAAATTACAACAGCAAAACAACAGAGAGGAAACAATCATGGACATCTAACCACCTCTCAACAAAAGATTGCCCCAGGCACTGCCAGACCATCAAATGCTAATCAAGGTGGTCAGCTGAAACAGGCATGTAGCCGGGGGGGGGGCCCCGGGGGGCTTCAGCCCCCCCCCCCCGAAATTCTCATGGTGGTTCGCGAAAAGGCTTCCTGGTGCATTATTTAAACTGTTGTGTTTATGCATGGGGGTATTGGGGTAATGATACAAAAGGTTTGCTAGGCTAGACCCTCTTTCACTCAGACTCAGCGCCCCCCCCCCACCCCGAATCAAACTCAGCTCCCCCCTCCTCTCTGTTGTTGTGCTGTTGTAATTTTAGAGTTGAAACATTCACATCTAGCTCCAGCAGACAAGAGTCCTTTGTCCCACCCTGGTCATTCCACAGATATATAAACCCTTTTTCCTAGTTCCAACAGACCTCACTACCTCTGAGGATGCTTGCCATAGATGCAGGCAAAACGTCAGGAGAGAATGCCTCTAGAACATGGCCATATAGCCCGAAAAAATCTACAACAACCCAGTGATTCCGGCCATGAAAGCTTTGACAATACATTAAACAGAACTATATTTTCCTAAATCCTCCTCCAGGTTGAGAGGCTTCTAGAAAGTAGAGTTAAGTTTTTCTATTAAATTTAGGATGAGAGAAAAGTTTCCAATAACCTGCAGATCATGTCAATGAATACTTTTGTGGTGGTCCCTGAGTAAATGTTGAGGAGGGAACCCTTCAAAATGTGAGCATAGGCTGGAAGGCACATTAGGTCAGAGCTGTCACAAGTCCTTTAACAGACCATAAATGAAAGAACATGTGTAATGGATATACTATTACTTAGGTCAGATAGGACATTTCCAGTGCTAGCTCTCTTTGGGTTTTTCATGAGTTACGTAGTAGTATACATCACACATGAAAGCAGAAATTGTAAAAAATGAGCTTTAAGGAAGCTAGTGAATCAAAGGGGATTAAAATAATAAGGCAGGTGCATAGTAAGGATATGATGCAAGCAAGCCTTGTAAATAAGGTTACAGTGAAAATTTCACACAGAGATTAATATACACGTTAACACAATGAAACTTTTTCTTTGGGTCAGGAAGATGGGAAAAAATCTACCAATTAGCACTAGAACTTCACTTCATTATCACAGGACAAAATCATTTGCAACTTCTGTGTCAGTTTTTCTCCTAAAAGAAAGTTATATAAGCACATGCATAACCTGTCAAGCCAGGAAAACTATGAGCAATTTACAAAACACCTCATTAAAACATCTTTCTTCATGGAAAAAAAAACAGTGCATAACTATCAGAAATGGAAGTTATCATAGAAGGAGAGAAATACATTTTTACAAGTATATAGTCTATTATTTTAATTCCCAATAATAATCAAAGCTGGAGAAATTAGAGACAGACAGGAATTGATTATGTATAGTTAGTTATTTACCTCAAAATGCATAGACATATTTTGCCTCCTGCTGTCAACCGGCAAAATCCAAATCTTTGTTTGCTTTCAATATCCGTAAGCACAAAGGTAAAGTGCTGTCCAACCTGGGTCACCCTGGAAAGAAAAAACAGTATATATTTCTGTTTATACAGAAACAATGCCAGTTATACAGCTTAATGGTGTAACATTAGAAAATGTTGATGATTTGATCATTTCCGCTACCTTGGCAGCCACCTCTCCACCAAAGTCAACATCGACCCGAAATACAACACCGCCTATATATTTCTGTGTATATAGTAAGTGTGTGTATGCAGAAAACATATGCAAACATATTTATGCATGTATGTTGCTGCTGTCTGCCTTTAAGTAATTTCCGAATTATGGTGATCCTAAAGCCAGATAAATATTAATTGGGTAAAAGGGTCCAAAACTCAAGCTCAGCTATAGCACAGAAAACAGAACTCCATTAGTAGTTGATAGAAATAACTAGACAGTCTTTATCCTACATGAAGGATTTCAATTTACTTACAGCGATATTGGGCAAATGACACTATTTTATGACACATCAATAAATACTCAGTTATTATAATTGTTGTTTTCCAAACTGTATTGCTTCTTGTAAGAGAATCCAGAACTAAATTTCGAGTAGGGTGTGGGTAGCTGCTAGTGTTTTGGTTGACGAGAGATCATCAAACCACACCAATATCAAAACAAACTGAAAAAATAAACACCAATAACCAATTCAATTTTTATGGATGTTGGGAGGCTTGGGCGACATTGTGTCCTGTTTACAAGAAAACTTTAATTCCTGATGGCCTCCTTTTTTGTATAAAAAATTTCTTCACTACACAGACGATGTCAGGAAAACCTTAGGCTGCGTAAGAGTGACAAGAAACTTGTTCTACTGCCTGTACCCTCTCTGACAAGGTTCTGGTGTCACTTGTGGCAAACCATTCAAGGCTACAGAGAACAATCTAAAATATTTATGTATATCTTCCAGTTCTAGCACAGCTTTCAGAGGAGGGGGGTATGGCTTTGTGATCTTGGCATTCTGAGGTTTCTGCTTGGCAGTTTGCTTCTAACATCCTATGCTTGTATGTTGCATTTTGTAGAGTTCTCTCTCTACCCCACCAGGACTCAAAACCCATAGCAAACCCGCTCTTTTGCATGGGCTTCCAGATCATCAAATTCCAACATCTTTCTGCTAAAGTTACTATGTTATGAAGAATTACAAAATGTTCAGCACTGAATTCCTCACAGTTCTGATTTTGAAGAGATCTGTCTAGCTCAGTGATTCTTAACCTGTGGGTCTCCAGATGTTCTGGCCTTCAACTCCCACAAATGGTAAACTGACTGGGATTCTGGGAGTTGTAGGGCAAAACACTTGGGGACCCACAGGTTGAGAACCATTGGTTCAGCTAATGACTGCTTACTCCATTGGTTCTCCGCTTGTGGGTCCCCAGGTGTTTTGACCTACAAGTCCCAGAAATCCCAGCCAGTTTACCAGCTGTTAGGATTTCTGGGAGTTGAAGGCCAAACATCTGGGAACCCACAGGTTGAGAACCACTGGCCTACTCCATACATTTCATAGTACTGTGTCAAACGGAATCCAGCTGTCCCATGTTCTCTGTGGCCTCTTCTACACTAACCATTTACTGCAGAACTGGTTTGGGAGAAATAATTATGCTATGCAGGAACTAGATTGACAGGTCTGTAACTGGTTTGAGGACGGATGGGTTTGTGATTAATTACATTAATCACAAACCTGGCTCACACCATTTTTGCCCCCCCCCCCCACCACCACCACCACCACCATCACCTTCACCATTTCCAGGAGAGATGAGCAGCAGCGATCCAGAAGTATTGGAGGTGGAAAAAAAGGAGAGCGACACGAGTAGCGAGGGAGAGAGACTATTTCCTCTTTAAAAACCTCTTTGCTACCTTATACTGATTCAGTTTCTTCTTTTATATTGGCTGGGACTTTCTGTGTACTGTTAAACCTTTGTACTTTATATCACAGGCAATGAAACACTCTTGTGTATAACAAAGTAACACAGTTTATTTATAACTTCTGGCTCCAATGCTTGTGGTTACATTTGTGTTTTGTTGCAATCTTGAGGCTTACAGTCAGTATCATTTACTTGGTTAACTTTCCTGAATAAACTATCAATGTTTCACATTCACAAACATGTTACTTGCTTTACACACTCTTGGCTGAATTATATTTTGAACTAAGGCAACACTAGCCTTCTTTATGTTCCTTAAAACTCAAGCTCTATTTAACTAACTGCTTCTCTATATCAGAAGTCTTTAACACATCTTCATAACTGCTTATTTCTATCAGGCACTCAAAACCAACTCTCCTCTTCACACACAGATTCCTAACTGTCATTTTCAAACTCCCTCACTCTAACTGCCTCTTTCAGAACCTTGGCTCCGCCCCTTTGGAATGTTCAGCTCTGCTCTCCCCAACTGTCATTTTGGCCTAGCAGCCTTTTCAAATCCTGGGCCTACACTAATCTGCATATGACCAATCGGCTTCCCATATGCAAATGAATCCTATCTCTGCTGTTGCTACCCTGTCTGTGCCTATTCTTCCCTATCTGCCATATGTAAACATAGAGCTATACACCAAAACTTTAACATAGAGTAGCAATTTCACTACAAGCGATCAATTACTCCTCCCAAGGGATCAATCCACCCTCTGCTAGCCTGCCATGTCCTTTTGGGCCTTTTTCAGCAACCCTCTCACCCTATATTCTGAATTCAGCAAGGGTGGATGTCTACAACAACAATGAACAACAAAAATTTATTTATATACAGCTCTATCTCCCCAAGGGGACTCAGAGCCGTTTCCAAGTAACATAATCAATACATACAAGAAAAAAGGCATAAACATAAAATTAACAAAACAGTATAAGCGTTAAAACCACAATAGCACATATATTTAAACTAATCATGTCTGATCAAGGCAGTTTAAAAGGCCAGGCCAGGCTACTGCGATTTTAGGGGGCCCGGGAAATTAGTCTATGGCTGTACATGTCTATGGCTGCATATTTCCAGGACCTAACAGAAAAGAGTGACCTGGGTAATTGTTAGAAGAATATATGGCCAATTTCAACAGTATCTGGGGCAGAGCTAGAACTAGTCGTTCTCAAAGGTTTGTTTAAACCACCAGGTCTTCAGGCTCTTACGAAAGTAGGGGAGGGATGGGGCCTGTCTTATTTCTCCAGGAAGGGCGTTCCAGAGGCGAGGGGCCACCACCGAGAAGGCCCTCTCTCTCGTCCCCACCAACCGTGCTTGTGATGGTGGTGGGAGCGAAAGAGGGCCTCCCTGGAAGATCTTAAAGTTCGCGCCAGTTCATAACTCGCGACTACATGGATGATGGTGATGAACTACGATTTTACTTTGACGACTTGGCCAATGTAATTATATGACTGTATTTTAGTATTTTAATGTTTTAGTGTATTATGGGATGTGATGTTTTTAAATGATTGTCTGTGTTATTGTTGTTGTGAACCGGCCTGAGTCCCTCTGCGGAGGTGAGAAGACTGGTATATAAAAGTTATAAATAAATAAATAAATAAATAAATATATAGAGGGAGATGTGATCACGAAGATAGGCGGGGCCCAAACGATTTAGGGCTTTATAGGTCATAACCTGCACCTTGAATTTGGCTCGGCAACTTATCGGCAGCCAGTGAAGCTGTTTTAAAAGGGGTGTTGTATGCTCCCTATAGTTTGCTCCAGTAAGGAGCCTGGCTGCCTCCCGTTGTACCAGTTGGAGCTTCCGGGCCGTCTTCAAGGGCAGCCCCACATAGAGCGCATTGCAATAGTCCAATCTGGATGTAACCAAGCCGTGGACCACGCTTCAAGTCAGACTTCACGCGGTATGGTCGCAACTGGCGCACGAGTTTAAGTTGTGCAAAGCCCCTCCCGGCCACCGCCAACACCTGAGCATCAAGTGACAGCGTTGAGTCCAGGAGGACCCCCAAGCTACGGACCTGCGCCCTCAGGGGTAGTGTAACCCCGTCGAGCACAGGTTGCCACCCAATACCCCGGTCGGCCCCACAACTGACCAGGAGGACCTCTGTCTTGTCTGGATTAAGCTTCAACCTGTTAGCCCTCATCCAGTCCATCACAGCAGTCAGACACTGGTTCAAGGTCTGGGAGGCTTCCTTGGAATTTGGTGGAAATGAGTAGTAGAGTTGGGTGTCATCTGCATACAGATGGCACCCAACTCCAAAACTCCGGATGACCTCACCCAGTGGTTTCATGTAGATGCACTACACATTCTGTAGGGACGATTTCGCCCTGCAATATGGGATGTTTTTATTCTGCTGTATCATACCAAAGGGGTTAACTCAGACTTTCTGCAACTTTCTTTAATGCCCTGTATACCCTTTAGTCCAGGGGTTCCCAAACTAAGGCCCAAGGGCCAGATGAGGCCCTCCAAGGTCATTTACCCACCCTCCACCCTAATTTTTAGATTTAGGGTTGTCCTAAGTCTTAAATGACTTTAAGGCACACAACAAATTATTGTCAGCCAAAAGCAACAGCCACTTCCTATTAAAATACTGGTAAGCTTATGTTGGTTAAAATTATTAATTTTAAATATTGTATAAAATATGTGCAATGTGCATAGGGATTCACTCATTTTTTTCCGAACTATAGTCTGCTCTCCCAACAGTCTGAGGGACTGTTTAAAAAGCTTGAAGACCCCTGCTTTAGTTCATGCTAAAGAGCACACTGACGCTGTTCATTTTATTTCCACTGCAGTTTTAATTCAACTTGAAATCTCATTCAATTTATTTTATTTATCGGGTCAGAAGCGAATTGAGAATACAGTTATAATGCATAACCTCATTCAATTATCAGTGTAGATGGGCCCTGTGTTTCAAGAACCAAAAAGAACACACACACACACACACACACACACATATATATATATATATATACTTTTTATTAGTGAATTTTTTACAACAATAAAAACGGGGGAAGTGAAAATAGGGAGTATAAAAGGAGGAGGGAGGGGAGAAAAAGAGAAAGGAAAAAAAGAGTGGAATTTTCTAATTATGTCTTTTGTTTGTTAAGCTTGAATAATTCTTCAGATT